CATGACGGCAGGTAGAAAAGGATCAACAAACGTTATTGACAATTTACCAAATCCTGGTATAGGTATTATCACACCAAGTTACCTGTATCAAAATAAACACGATTTACGTAATTCACCTAAGCCAGATACAGGTATTATTACACCAAACTACCTGAGGAAGCTAGCCACTCGCGCCAGTTAAACGTCAGGAAAAAATTCCAAAAATCTACGGCCATCAAACCCGGAAAAAAGTGACACTGAAAAGCCCGGCTGTAAAAGCCTTAACCATTTTGTCATTCTAATTTTATTTGTTCTTTCATAGATTTCGAATCATGTTAGACAATGGAAGTTCAAACTAATAAAATTCTCCATGATAAATTGTCAAACACTTTCAAACAAAACACAGTAGGTTTAATCTGACGGATTGTGTATCTTACTTTCAGAGGCATGGCTATATAGTTTCTTTGTAGCTACTAACGAAGTGGTAGAAGTAGCAGTTCTACCATTCGTAGGCGCGGCTGAAGAAGAAACTCACATATGCCACTAGCAGAGACAGTCGGAACACGCAGAATATTTTACAGGATCAGACTCCTGAAGCCATGACAACTGGCCTGTTGAGATGTAGAAATTTGTGGATAACTCGCCAATCGCTAGTCAGATAGAATCATATTTGAGGGATATTATTTTCTATACAATGCCACTCAACCTAGACACTCCATTCCTATCTTACGCCCCCCTACGAACGACAACTCTCAGAGGTCGAAACTTATGCGAGCTGAGGGCTAACGAGGTCTTACCTTTCAACGTGTGATTCCTAACACGGATTGGATGATAGCAAGTGGAAACCGATCGTCCGGTCTGCGGCTTGAACTACCGATTCACACAGCGATCGATTGAGTGGAGCAGAGCACCTACGTCAACCCGACCGGCTACCAACCTGCCCACCAATCAGCTAATAAATCCAATGAAACCTTTGAATTCTTCACAAAATGAATCTATTAAATGTATATAGAAATTATCGTACTCAGTAACAACTGTATAAACCAAAAAACGTATTAGATTTGAACACATTCATTTATTAACAAATAAACCAAAAATTTCAACCATGAATTTTTTAAAAATCAATAATATTCAGTCATAACACTTGACAAACAAAATTATTATCAGTTGGTAATTTTATATCTAATTTTGGACATGAATCAATTATCGAGTCCTGCGTTACACATCTATCGATGAGCAGGTTCTCTTTACATCCAGCGACTCCTCTCTTCGACCCTCTCTGCTCATATATCCGTTCGAACACTCGGTTTACTGCGGTGAGTATTCGTGTGTATAAGATGCTTGTGAACAACTATTATTATAATTATCATTATTATATATGAGCAGAAGAGTCGTAGAAAAGAGTTGCTGTTAGGATAACCTACTTACCGACAGATATATAACGCAGTAACGGAATACATAGGTAAAGCCTGCCCTATAAATTATTAGATGAGTAAAGAAAGAATGATGCAACATTAGCTCATCCAGGTCCTTCACAACACCGAAGTGATAAGATACCACTACAGACGAAAGTTAAATATCTATTTATCTACAGATACTAGATCACAGACGACTCATCTGGAAATCAACATTTGAACAGGATAGAGAAAGGATTAGGCAACATTGATGCTGGTCAGATGTTGTTATACTGACGGGTCGAAAACCCGAACGGAAGCTGTTATAAACTATGATAGCACAAATGTATGTTACAGCAACCCCCTTACAAATCGCAAAGGAATAAGCGAATCAACATTTCTACAGGCAACCAGTCTACAGTCGTGGTATTGATGAACCCAATATTGACATCAAGTTTGGTCTAGGAATACCGTTAGATACTGAAGAAACTGGAGGTCCGAAATATAATGATTCTAAAGGTAATGGGCTGGCAGGGTACTCAAGAATCATAGGCAGCAGATGATGTGCTAGACCAGCGATACTCAACCTGTGGCCCGCGAGCCGCATGCGGCCCGACAGTCTTTTCTATGCGGCTCCCTAGCGGCTCTACCCTTTTCTGCAGCCTGAAGGCTAATACAATATTTTTATATTATTTGACAATAGTATTTTCTGATAACGACACGAAAATGTATAGGGGTTTGACCCAAATAGAATACTGTGGTCGAACACTGGAAAGCCTAGTGTTTGAATACTCACGAACGGTGTTCGCAAGACTGAATGCCGGATTTCCGGTTTCATCAACACGTGGAAGAAAAATCATGATTCTTCTCTTTCTTCAGTTCAAGTCTTCAAGCGAGTAACATCTCATTCTTGTGCAAAGTAAAACTGTTCATTTCGAGGTTTCTGAATTCTTTCACACCCAATGTTGGAATATCGTTTCACTCTGAGGACTGATCACAGTCTCGTTAATTTCGTTAACTTCAAGAAGCTGAAGAGTCCGGCTTCAGTGTAGTTACAACGATTTTTCAAACAGAAATGGTATTACTGCCAGAGGCTAGAAAATAAAAGAGTCGTTATTCAAGTGGTATACTTTGACATAGACACAGCAAAGGAGATTGACCTGCTTAGCAAAAAGTCTTCATAGCATAATTCAATTTTTAAAACTTACTATGTTCAGACCCAACACCCATGCGCAACCATTTGGTCCTGAATGGGTTTTCTCCGTTTATTTGCAAATGACACCCAAATTTTTTTATGCCATTATTGTAAATATTCTAATGTGAATAAACTCATTATTACTGTTACTATTATCATTATTATTATCCCAAGCGTTCTCCTAAGCACTCTAGGCACTTGTTTCGTGCATCCCCTTGGAATAATTCAGGATTTTCATTAGGTAATTAGAATGAATGGTAATCATTTTATGCCATTATTGTAAATATTCTAATGTGAATAAACTCATTATTACTGTTACTATTATCATTATTATTATCCCAAGGGTTCTCCTAAGCACTTTAGGCACTTGTTTTGTGCATCCCCTTGGAATAATTCAGGATTCATTAGGTAATTAGAATGAATGGTAATCATATTATACATATTGATATACTGATATCAAAGCAAATATACATTCTATCCAATTGAATTCTTGAAGGAAATGATAGAATTCAATCAATGAATAATTCTTTTTCCTTTGGCATTTTTTTTTAATTTCACCTTATTTTCTCTTCCTTGTTTCGCCTTCTCTAATGTATGATTTATTATTTGTTTGTAAAATTTAGGACTGCAATAGAAAATTGTTCGTCGTGTATGAATTTTTTTACATTTAAATTTTCGATAGATCTAGTATTTTTTATCTTTTCGCTATACTAAAGATGTGATTTATTATACATTCATATAGAACAGTGATAAATATAAATACATCTTATGTTTATAACAGGTATAGATCCTTTTGGTCGGTAGCTAAAGCTGTTAATCAGAACTTTACAAAATCCACAATTCCACCAATAATACAAGCGGATGGTTCAATTACAACAACAGCCATAGAAAAAGCAAATATACTGACTGAATAATTTGTGTCTCACTCTACAGTCGATTTTCTGGAAAAGGTACCACCCACTATTCCCACACTAGAATCCACATTGCCGGAAATTACTGAACTCGTACCAGTATTTTATAGACTTTTCAACCTGTCTCACAAAGGCTTTTCCTTCTTGTTGGAATATTGCTCTCGTTCAGCCTATTCCCAAAAAATGGAACAAAAATCTTCCAAATAACTATAGATCAGTCGCTTTGCTATCAGTGATATCAAAAATCAAGGAGAAAGTCGTAAACCACCATATCCTCAAATATTTGGAAGGCTTCAACATCTTGAGCGATCATCAAAGTGGCTTCAACAAAGATCAACAGGCGACCTTCTATCGTATCATATTTGGAATATAGCAATCAAGAAACATGGAGAATCAAGAGATGTTGCGCTTGATATTTCTGAAGTTTTTGATCGTGTGTGGCATAAGAGTTTGCTGGCCTAACTTCGATGCTATGGCTTGTCGAATCATTTCTGTGTATGGCTCTTCAGCTTCCTGATAGAACGTTCCCTGCAAGTGGCCGTCGATGGATATCTCTCAAATAATTTCATTATCAACGCTGGTGTTCCCCAGGGAACTATATTGCCTCCAACCCATTTTTTCTTCGACTTATATATGTATATGTATATGTATATCAACGACTTATTGGAAAAAACCAAGGATGTTGCAAATCTTAATGGGGATCTAGAAGTGATTTCGAATTGGGGTGAAAGTAACCAGGTTCAATTCAATGCCACAAAAACCAAGACATCGGTTTTCTCCAAGAAGATAAATGTCTCCGAACCGAATATAATAATGTCAGGTCAGATAATTCCGCATTCTGCTTCGATGAGTTTGTTGAGGATATGGAGGATATTGACACCAACATGTATTGGCACAATCATGTCGCTGGAATTACAAAGGCTGCTTCTCAAAAGCTTGGAACACTGTTCCGAACCAGAAAACTGTACACACCTCAGCAACTTTTGATACTTTATAAAGCTCAGATCAGACCTTCTTTGAAGTATTGTTCTCATGTATGGAGCTCTGCCCCCAAACACCCTAAAGTTACTTGATTCCATCCAGATAAGAGCCATCCGCCTGATTGGAGACGATAACATCACGTGCAACCTTGATAGTCTGGAACATCGAAGAAAGGTTGGAGATTTGTCTCTCTTTTATAGATACTTTCACGAGAACGTTTTTCCAAATGGATTTAATCTAATGCGATTCAAATGCAATGTGAGTCGCTACTTTCGCACAGGCACCGCGCTGAGCTTTAAGGATTTTCTCGTAGTGCTTGTGTTTTGTCCTTAAAAAATTTTAATTTTCTATGCCTGAGCGATGGCATCTTATATCGCAAGTAGGAGGGTCCAGATGATATAATGGTAGTGCATCAATTAGTTTTAGAAGTAGAACAGAAAACCAAAACCTTTTTTTCCAAAAATTTATATCTCCTAAATTTAAACTGAAATGTTTTGTTTATTTTTTTTAATTCTATCTGGATGCTGAATTGTTTTTGGGTTCAATTTTTTTCATTTATTCAAAACTGTGTTTTTTGGAACCGAATTATATACTTGTACCTTAAATAAATATTTTGCAATATTCTGGGTTATTACTTGATCTCTTTGTTATAGTTTTATGAAGATCAATACTAAGAAGAAAAAATATCCAACATAATATACATCGATGCTAATGAAACATTATTATGATTGTACAAATAATTATCTTTTCGCGTCGAGTTGTAGTTTTTCGGAAATTTCTTCACATTTTATCAGTCTCATGGTTTCCTTCCAAATCGTTTCCATCAATTCCAAATCTCTAGCAGTTTTATATGTTTCTACGACATCACATTCCTCGAAATGTTTTCCAGAATATATTTCTAATCCTGGAGTTAGAGCTGTATGAAGAATTGTCTGTATTCCTTCCTCAACTGTCTGAAAATGTTTCCAAAATTAAATTTTAAATGTATATACTACATATAAAGGATAAGTATAACGACCACTGAAAATAATTCCTAGTATACATCTATAAAGAATTTGTTGCTGAAAAATTGCAATCCAAAGTATCCTTTAGTTGACACGAAAGGTTTTTATCGCCTAATCAATGTTATTCATGAAGAAAACTGTTACATCAGGATCCTAAGTCAGTCATTTGTGTTAAAATCAGTTACGATTTAGTGAACTTCATAATAACCAATAATCGGGTTACCCGATTATTGGTTATTATGAAGTGTTCTCATTACAACAAAAACACATCGATGATTTATTGTATTAAACAAGTAAATTTCAAAATAATTGAATCATGTGTAAATCTTCTGATTCCATAGAGAGCAACTTCTATATGGAAGTTTTTATTTTCGAAGGAATAGATCGTCAACTATTACTGACTTCAAATTGCATAATGCCACCCCTTTTTAGCATTTACTGATAATTCACATATTATTGTATGTTTTTACTCATCATTAGAGTTATACTAATAACCATGATAATCAAGACTAAGTGGAGGAATAATTATCAACAACAATAATTATCCAAATTCAAGTAAAAGAACAATTTGCAAGAGGTTTCCTGTAAATCTCTGAGTTCCGCTTCATTTTTTTTTTCTATAACAATGAAGACGTTGGTTATAGTTTTTTTCCAAACCTGCTGATGAGATTTATTTTGATTGTCCCCATAAAAATTTTACAAAACTGCGATACGTGTTTCGCTATACAATAGCTTTCTCAAACAGGATTTGTTTCAGATTAATTCTAACCTAGTTTCATGTACCCGAAAAATGCGGATACAATCATTCCATTAAAAAGTAAGAGCATGTAAATGCAGGCGGAAATACTTATTCCCCGATGAAATTATGTGAAAAACTAAGTCAATAAATCAATGAATATTACATATTTATGATTCTGGAGCGACAAAGCATGATTATTTGGTAATAACATTTCAAGTAACGGGTAGATTTTCAACTTGATTGAAGCATTCATTAGATATTGATAATTTTCGTACTTATTAATTTCCATGCTTTCCAGATGGTCAAGTTTCACGCCTTTCTTCTGGAAATGAAAAAGTTTCAATTCATGATTCAATTCATGTTTGCATAAAACGCATTACATCACATTTCTCTATTGATTCAGCAATGTTTATTTTCCAGATTGTGGAAGAAGATCAACTAGTCAAAAAACAGTAATAATAATTACTTTTTCATAAATAATATCTTTCAAATAATATGATACATTCTAAAAATGTTTTTGTACACCACAACTCAGGTGAAATGAAATTAATAAAAAATGATGTAAGTTTTGTCAGTTTGTCGTTCATCAAATGAAAGTTATTCTGTTATTATGATTGTCCAAACCTCTCCCTTCAACTGTTCCAATAAAACTGAGTTATTTCTTTTTTAATCTTTAGAAGTTTTCAGTCAACTTGCAGTGTCCTCGTATGTATGCATGTTAGTTTAGGTCAAATAATGCAACTGAATTCATGATATTCATTAAATTTTTAACTATGAATATGACATCATGACTTCATTTACTAGAATCGTTAGTGTTTTTCAATGCAGCTGATAATGTTGAAAGACAAATGAAAGTTTTGATTTTCATTTTTCATATGGTATAAGTTCCTGTGGAAGTTGAATTTTAGAATATGCTCCTAGAATCAAAATCAGACCTATGGATAGGAATGCACAGAGATTTTTGTGGAGAGACAGACGAAGTCATGACAAAAATACGCAAGAATATGAAATGACGGCTATGGTTATCGGGGTAGTGTCATCTCCAACATCGGCCGAATATATTATGAGAAGAAATGCTCTCTGTCTATTCCTCATTGTTACGTTTTCAATATTTTTGAAGCCGAAGAAATACAGAATCATATTTTCTGTGATTCAAGTGCCCAGGCCTATGCAGCTGTTATTAACCAGGAGAACGAAATGGTGCACATCACTACAAGAAAAATCAAGGTGGGAGACATAGTGATTATAGTCGACAGCCAATTCTTAAGAAACATTTGGCCCAAAGGTGTAGTAACTGCGACATATTCAGGTGCAGATGGCTATGTACGAGTGTTTGATGTAAAAACAAATATTGATACATACAGAAGACCTGTTTCCAAACTTAGTCTTCTAGATGTTGACAAACACGAAAAATAGTGAATAATAAGATTTCATCACTGCTGGGAGGAAGTGTTCCTGCGGAAGTTTAATTTGAAACGTTTGTCTTTGTTCACCTTATTTATTCAATTTTATAGTATGTTTGTATTAATTTTCCTGTTTGACCCTGTATAAAAAATAATTGAGAGTGTATTATGTAAATAAAAAGTTGTTGTTGACGGTACGGAAAATTATCTTTTCATTTCTATATATCAAACAGAAACCAAAGTTGTGTTCAAGTTGAAAAGTAAAACCAAGTATCAACAAAACCGATGTCATCCATCAATCGGATCAGAAACAGAAAATTTTATAATTTTCATTATTCGTTTTCAAGGAGAACTGAATTTTATACTTGTACCTTAAAGAAATATTTTGCAAAATACTGGGTTATTATGCTTCCTACTATTGGCACGTTATTGAATATATTCGTATCTATTACTCCTGGATGTAGAGAATAAACGCTAACGCTCGATGTTTTTAATAATTTAGCCAGCTTCATGGTAAATAATATGAGTCCTAATTTGCTATTAGGGTAACATACAGACATTCCAGTATAAGTGTTCAAATTTCCTTTGGTTAAATTTGCTTGTTTTGCCAAAATTGATGATATATTTATTATCCTGCTTGGTGAAGATTTTTCCAATAAATCTGGAAAAAATACTATATACCCATTTATTCAACGCAGCAATTTAAATATTACCCATTAAAAGCATTGTCAACAGAACTGATCCAAAATAGTTCACTTGCATTAGAACTTGCAATCCGTCCTCAGTAAACTCATTCCTCAAGATACCGGTACCTGCGTTGTTGATCAAGATGTCTAACCTCTTTTCCGATTTCAGTATATCTGAAGCGAAGTTTCTAATGGAGGCCAGTGAGGCCATGTTAACCAATTTCACAACTACATTTGGATTTTGAGTTTCACTAATAATTTGATCTCTTGCTTGCTTAGCTTTATCTTCGTTTCTGCATGCCAAAATTACTCGTGCACCTCGTTTAGCGAATTCCAAAGAAACTTCATATCCTAATCCTGAAATAATATGCCAATTAATCAGGTATTCAATATAATCTTCCGAAACATTTTGTAAAAACCGCATATTATGATTAAACGTATGAATACAGGGTTGTGTTTTCAATAATACATTTTACTCTATCTATCGATAGGTTGAACTGCGGTGCGGACTCCTTGAAGGCCCGCAATCATCTAAGCACGAACGGGAACGAGGCAAGGCGAATGAGAACGATCATACGTATGTGCATGTGTTTTCGAGGCGCGACAAACTACATTTTGTTGTGCGACGCACGGTGCGAGGTGAGGCAGTTCGAAGATCATCCGATGAAAGTCGGTACTCCAAAAAAAATTATTAGATGTGGACGCCATTCGTGCGTTTTAACTACCTGATAATAAAAGCAGATTTAAGTTTTCATATGATTTGAGGTCGGATTGACATTTATATTTCGAGGATAGAGCGGATCCAGAGGGATTTAAGGCCCTCCCCTGGGCTGGGTCCAGAACCTAGGTGGACCACTAATTAAAATTGCTAAACATAATGGTTTATATATTTTGGTCACAATATAGATTTTATTTAAGTACTTGCTATATTTAATTAATTTAATGTAATAGTTTGTTTTACGGCAAACGCATTTTTCGGAAATTAACGCATCGAAAATTTGAAATTTTACCGTCTGAATCCTAGTTTTTTTATTCAATTCTGAAGAGTTTTGTCACAGTAGCTCACGTTATTGCCGAAAGTATTCAATTTCTTCCTTATGATTTCAGTTGTAGGAATCTCATTGCTTTTGTAGCAGTCGTATATTGTTTTTTTCAATGATTTTATTGGATGAAGGTTTTGATAATCCTGTATCACATCGCGTCTTGCGTTCATGAGGTTTGTTCTTGACGATTTTACGTACAGTTGAAAAAGAAATTTCGGTCAAATCTGATGTTGCTTGTAATAGTTTGTTTCCTTCGAAACCAAACTTGAGATGTAGATTTTTATATACATTGAAACATATTCTCCAAGGTCGCCACATTTTGAAGCGATAACAAAAATTTTAAGTAATTATAACTGCACCAATATCGAATTTCAACACTCAAATCGCGATCAGTTCATGAACTGAACATTGATGGCAAGACGGCAATAACCATCCCCACATTCCCCGATTTCTATTCTATTCGATGACTTCAAATTTAATTTATCGACTCTTCGGCCAATTATAAAACTCGGTAAGTAAAAATTAGCCAATACGAACCGCCAATTTTTCAATCCACGTGGGCTAGTTCGCTGCTGGTTCATTTTTATGTATTGGTTTTTTGGCCTTTGAGAGTGCACAATATCGTTTACTTCGATTATACATCTACTTAGAGTGTGACTTATGTACCTACCTAATTACTTTTCATGGACGAGTATGTTTGAAGAGCCTACGCTTTCACGTCCATAAAAACGTACCCATCGAAGTAGATGACGTGGTAACGCGTTTCGGGAGAAGACGTAAAAGAAAAATTGACTTTGTTATTCAAATATAGGTAGGTTTTGAGTACAGTAGGTACTTACATTAAATAATAAAAATACTTACTTTTTACTTGTATCTATTATTTTCAAAATTGAATTATAACTTCTTGTGACTTGATCACGATTATGTAACCCCCTGGCGCCAAAGCTGAATCCGCCCTTGTTTTGAAGTGGTTTGAATTGAATGCTTTGAAGTTTCTGGAGGATCCAGAAAAGATACAACATCAATAAGTATTATTCAGTGCAACAAGAACACCTTTTGAGAATAAACTGAATGGTATAGTTTTTTGATTTAATGACATTACTATTTCAAATATTAACAAAAATATATCTGAAAGAGGTACATACTTTTAGGCATGATCGTTTGAAGAGAAATCATCAGCGAATTCCGATATTGTTCGTAGAAATCGATGATCCTCGCGGAATATTCCCTAAAGAAGTAGAAGATGTAATATTTTTGCGGTCATTCCGCCAAGAACCAGGAATGACCTGTACATTTACTTTCTTGAGAATGTCCATTCAGGCACATAAATATTTCTTGGTGGATGGCTGCCCGCAACAAAAAACAATTGGTACATTTTTGTTTACATTCGGGAACATTTAACTTGTTTGTTTCCAAGTCTTCATACAACTAGCAGTTTTCAAATCCACCCTCATCAAAAATTCCATTTTGGTAGCCAACGTCAACATAGAAAAAATTGTTATCAGCAGTAACGAGAGCCATTAACACAATACTGGAATTCGACTTGTTATAATACTAGTATGTACTTCCAATGTGCATTGGCCATTGCATCTTCTTTCCCATTCTAGTGCAAGTATATTCCTGCTTTACCAATTTGAATAGCCAGATTTGAATTGAAAAGTTTCACAATCTATTCTATTTCCATTTCCCTGTTCTTGAACTCTGAATGACCTCAAATTTATATCCATAACTTGTTTATCGATTTCATCATGCTTAATTACAATAAATTCGTTCTCGTACTTCAGGAGAGAAATCTCTCCTTTCAAGTTCCTACTGACATAAATTTTTGTATTTTTGGCCCTAACTCAGCAATTTTTGTAGCAATAGTATTTGTTACGCTATTGATAACTTTTTGCACAGTTCGCTTGATAAAATCGTCTTTTTCAAGAATTGAATTTATGCTGGTGATTACAAAATTCTTGATGTCATCCGTCATTTCACGTGTTATCACCATATTTTTCACAATAATCGGTTAACCAGTAGAACCCGATGATACAATTAGGTAATATACCTACACAGAAAATTTGGAATTTTTCCTGCTTGAAATAAACATGTTTGTCATTTTAAACTAGGATCGTAAAACATAGTTTTTACTCGCGGCCAGCCATATCTACGAGTATATCACTGGCAGATCATAGACTGAAATCTTTCAGATAGATATTGCTTGACTAATAGAATAGATAATTTGAATCAGCTCTCTCCTTTTTGCATCTTACCCTCACTATCTACGAGTATATCACTGGCAGATCATAGACTGGAATCTTTCAGATAGATATTGCTTGACTAATAGAATAGATAATTTGAATCAGCTCTCTCCTTTTTGCATCTTACCCTCACTAGTATTCTGATAAAAATATTCGTGGATATATCTGCAATACACCAGAAGACTAGAAACACGGAAAATGTCACCAACTTTACATAATCAACGTTGAATTATATACTTCAGGAAAAATGATTCACGTGTCATTATAACCAAACAGATTTGGGCGATGGAATGGGTCGATGATTGATGAAAATCCCTGATGATGTACTTAAGTAACACATTTCACAGTTTCACAATAGCGTGATCAACAGTCAGAAAAAGCTATTGTGTAGTGTTGAATAGGTTCGTCGTAGCTATCGTAGAGTAATACACTTGTCACGGTTTCGTAAACAGTAAAGTGAAAATCTAACGATAGTGTCAATAAAATGTGAAACAGATTTGTTTTCGGGATAATTTTTAGTTTGTGATTGACATTTTTTTTTTATTTTCGACTTAGTGTTTCAAATATTTTCATTTTTCTGTTGTTTTTGTAGAAAACCAAAATATTTTGTTCTGAAAAATTGAACCGCGCAATTCAACTGTTGGATTTTTCAAATCATTACATTTTATTTTCTGAAAATTTAGAAAGTGATCATTATAAATTCATTTGGAATTTAAGTTCTCGAAACCAAGTGGAGAAATCAAATTACACTTCTCCTCGGTATGCATTAATTAGTTTTATAACCAAGAAAACCAACTCACCTGAGTTTGCCCCTGTAACAACAACGGTTTTTCCGACTAGGCAAACCTTATTTTGACACCAGCGTGTTGTGACTTTCAAATAAACTTTTATTGCAAGTGCAATCAGAACAAAACTTGAAAGGTATGCTAGGAGAGACATTTTTCAATATTTCGATTCAGTATAAATAAACTTTGACCTATGCTTATCAGTCTGAAAAGGAATATTGTAGAAATAAAACAGGTAAACTGTGATATAATAGCTCCAATCGATGATATTGAGCAAATATCAAGAAATAGAAATATCATATTTTTGGTACTCAGGTTAATACTGGCGAGAATTTAGTTACTGTTGCGTTGCAAATCATAAAACAGTATGTTAAAGTGAAAACTATCACCAAAAAAGTATATCCAAATGCCATCGAGTGCCGTACAAAAACATTAAATACCGACAGCCGTCCGTCATGTGTTTTGGTGCAATTTCATGACACCATAACGCGTGATGAAGTGATCAACAATAAAAAAACCTGAAGTCAGCGAGAAGGCTGAACCTGATGAGATGTCATGGATAAGCCGCCTAAAAATGTCGTGACGGCAATATTTTTGCGAATTACGATAACATATTCATTGCATAAAAGATAACAGAGACGAGTCTTGCATCATGTCACCAATGGAAATAATCAGAACACGCAGGGCGCTCCAACGAATTTGGCCCCTGAAGCCACAATAACTGGCTTGTTTGGATGCAGGTGTTCTAACAGAAAAGGCTGACATCTAACAAATCAACACCGCCGTATACAGTGTCATCCAATCGCTTCCCGAATCGGAATGATAAAATCCCAGCCTTGCGGATCGGAAGATTGAATGGCGAGTGCACAAATTGTAGGCTAATATAACTTTGGCTAGACAACACGCGTCTCGTATCCAATCTGCGATGGATTTTAGGGCGACGAACGGGCCTTTCACGCTCGCAGTGTGGCGAATAGCTACCAAACTAGAACGTTTCCATCACACTTTGAGTCAAGGCCTGCTGCTGACCACCAAAGAGCACTGTATTAATAGGATACGAATGCTAGTGTCTACTGAGAAGTCACTAGGAAGGCGAGCGAGAAGTATCGCGGAAAAACCTCAGGTTCCGCGAGAAACCTTCTCACGCATTCCAAGAGCCTCCGTGTGTTGTGGATAATTCACCGACCGCTGATCAGGAGAAATCCTTCTGGAAGGACATCTATGAATACCCGCAACCACTCAACTTAGACACTCAATGAACTGCGCAACCTGATAACCCAGGATGAAGTTCGAAGAGCCCTTGTGGGTTCCAAGAACTTTGTCGCTTCAGGTCCGCAGATAGACTGAACACTCATTTGTGGAAAAAACTACCGAGCACACACCGCCATCTGGCCAGAGTTTTCAACTCATTGATGGACCAAGAGCAGCGACAAATATCCGCCAAAAGCGGATATTTGTCGATTCCTAGAAATTATAGACCAATAACATACTTGAATCCATGTTATGAGTTATTTATGGGCATCTTATACACATGAATACTCACCGCAGTTGACCGTGTATTCGAACGGATATATGAGCACAGAGAGTTGAAGAAAGACGTCGCTGGATGTAAAGAAAACCTGCTCATCGATAAATGTGTAACGAAGGCCAGTCCTCTATGGCCTAAATCGATTACCGCAAGGCATTTAATATATCGATAAAACCGGTCAGGCTAGAGTCCTAACAGGCTAAGTGGAGACCAGTGGAAAAATATCAACTCGGCGTAAATACCTGAAAAATGATGCACCTCCATAGGAGTTTGTATCCCAGATTGTCTGTTCCACGGTTGTACTTCCACCATGGTCTTTCGAGTTTGGAGTGTCTACAAGACAGAATGGTACTGAATGGAGCCTGTAAAGTCGTAAGAAGTTCGAATCCCCTTTTCTACATGGTCCGCGACCATGCAGACAACGATACTGAACGAGGTGATCACAACACGTTTAGCAAATTGCCCACATGAGAGCCACAGATATCACCTCACTCCTGCGGTAAGACAAGAATAAGCCAATGCACAGCACATGCAGTCTCAGCCTAGATCTATCTATAAAACGCGGCCCGATTTATTATCACCTACGGCACTTTTAAGGTTCTGACGAAACACTGATGTTGCCCTATGCTTCTCGGAATATTGAATCAGTTATGGGGAATGAGAAGTGCCGAATTCATTGGAACTATCCGTTGCCCACCCTCAGGCTCATAGAAAGTAATAATTCTAATGTAGTCCTTTTCGATCACCAAAGCGAGACGATATTTGTCGTGGAGTTTTCAGCTCCTGGTGAGACAGATATCTTCCTAAAAGAGGAGGAAAAACGGATGAAATATCAAGATTTTCATTTCGAACTCCGCAGACCCTACCCAGACCACTCTGTCAAGATTGTTGTTCTGATTATTGGAGTCCTTGATAGAATGATGTCCTCTCTACTCTCGAATTATGCCGGCTTGCCGTACTACACCAGACAAATGCAGAAGTCTGCCATTATTGGCTCACTGCACTTACTCAGAGAACATGATTCTAGGGCCAAATGATCACTAACCCGTGAAGTGTTTTATAATGGTGGCACGCCCTCCTGAATGTATCGGGGCTTCGGGGTATAGGGCCTAACCAGCGCAAACTAAGGTTTAAATAACTGATGACAAGAGTGGGTTGAAGTCGGAAACTGAGGGGTTCATCATGGCTTGTCAGGATGGTGTCTTCAACACCTTAGTCTACCGCAGTCGCGTGATGGGTATAGAGGTTCCTGACACAAGGTGCAGGGCCTGCGGAGAGGCGCCCGAGACTCTAATGCACTTGCTTAAGGTATTGACGAGACACCGGTGTTGCCCTACGCTCCGGGGGATATTGAATCCGTTGTGGGGAACGAGAAGTGCCGAATTTATTGGAACTATTCGTTCCCCACCCTCAGGCTCATACAAGTTAATAAGCCTGATGTAGTTCTTCTTGACCACCAGAGCAAAACGATAATTGTCGTGGAGGTTTCAGCTCCGGCGAGACGAATATCGTCAGAAAAGAGGAGGAAAAACGGATTAAATATCGAGATTTTCTCTTCGAACTCCGCAGACTCTATACAGATCACTCTGTCAAGATGGTTGTTCTGATTATTGGGGTCCTTGGTGGAATGTCCTCTCTACTCTCGAATCTTAAAATCATACCGGCTTGCCGCACTAAGGCAGAAATCTTAGCCGCACAGATGCAGAATGCCGTCATTCTTGGCTCACTACGCTTGCTCAGGGCACATTAATCTCGGACCCAATGATCACTTACCCCACGGTGAAGGGAGTGGTCATTGGTTGATAATGCTGGCGCGCCGTCCCGAATGTATCGGGGCTTCGGGGGATAGGGCCTGACCAGCGCACACTACGGTCGAAAAAAAAATAATGATAATAATAATATAAGATAGCTAATAGGCCTGATATGGTTCTTTGCGACCAACAGAGCAAGACAATATTTCTCGTGTAGTTTTCAGCTCCTGGTGAGGCGAATATTGTCCGAATAGAGAAGGAAAAACGGATAAAGTATCGACATTTTCTCTTCGAATTCCGCAGACTCTATCGCGAGCACTATGTTAAGATTCATGTTCTGATTATTAGTGTCCTTGGTGAAATGATGCCCTCTCTACTCTCGAATCTTGAGATCATGCCGGCTTGCCTTACGAAGACAGAAATATTGACAAGCCAGATGCAGAAGACTGTTATTCTTGGCTAATTGCGTCTGCTTAAGGCACATGATTCTCCAATGAGCACTTATCCCATGGTGTGGGGAGTGATCATTGGTTAATAACGCTGGCGAGCCTTCTCAAAGGTGTCGGAGCTTCGAGGACAGGACCCGAGCAGCATACCATTTGGTGAAAAAAAAACAATAATGGCGAATTTATTTTCTTCAATTCTATCTACAAAAAAGCATGTGAATATGTTGGTGACATTGGGCTCTAGCCGTTCTTCCATATAACCACTGAACAAATATAGATTTTTCAATATGAGTAATAACGATAGTAATAAATATCTACAATAGATACACACACGTTCACATATACATATATGCAGGCCGTTTTTTAGGTGAACCCGTTATTGCTATCTTAGAAACGGTAAGACCTACAAGGTCGGTTACATCGAACAAAAGTTTCCCATTTTGTGGAATTAGAATAATCTCTTCCCAGATCAAGAATGCCAGGAATTGTTTCTGAAATATTCGCCAAAAACTGGAATTTTCGAATTTTCATTTTTGGCTCCACCGCCTACATTTCGAGTGATATAAAAAAAGGTAATTGAAATTTCAATGCTGTTTCATATTTGTTATCGTAATACGACTTCTCATTCATCATCAACTTCATTATTTTCAATACGGACCTGTAGTTTCCCAAAATAGTAAAATTCTGCCAATTTAAACGAACTTGTAGGTCTTATCATTTTCGAGATAAGAATAGTGGTACCAGCTAGAAAAACGGTAATTAGATGAAATAATGAGTACCAACCAATACCAATAATTATTTACAGTACATGATTATTTGCATTTCACAATATAGGAATGATATAATGTGTAAATTGATGGATGTAGCCGTTACTACGTGGTAGGAAATCATAATGAAGAAAAGAGAATTGAAACTTTCTATGTTTTTTACCACTTTTATTTGTAACTTACGTTTCTGCAGTTTCGTCCTATAAAGACATTTTCATACATTAATGTATATAACATAGGAAACAGCGCGATGACCGTCGGTGACTCGTGTTTCGGAAAATGATAGGATTCATGTCCTAAAAATTGGAAGTCATGAGTTTTTTAATATGCTTTATCGAATGAAAATGATGACGTTTTTCCAACACTTTCGGTTATACCTGTAGATGATACCAACTTCGTCAATTCAAATATAACCCCCTATATATTTTTACATTTTTTATTAATAATAATAGGTTTATTCAACAAAGAATTCACAATTGGAAATTGAACATCACACAATTACAAAAACCTCGCCTACCAGCAGCGGCGCAAAAATCGCAGTACCGAAAACCGAACTGAGCTTGTTAATGCTCGCAACAGCTGCAAACTAAGAATGAATGAAAGTAAAAAACTACACAATCAAAGAATGGGGGATGAGCTGCTTGCCAATCCCAATAGGTCTAGATTCTTCTGGTCGGTTGCTAAAGCTATAAATCAAAACTTTACAGAATC